ACAACTTTTCTCACGGCTTCTACAACCTTAAAAGTTGAATCATATATGCATTATAATTTCACACGTCGCCAACATTCTTGAACCCCTTAGGTTTGTCTATATGAAACACTATCATCATAAGTTAAGAAGTGTATTACAAAGTTCATTTAGTTTGATTATGTAACCAACGCAAATTGGCTGTATTTATTTTCAACTGAACAAGAAAACACATACAGAAAACCATTTCAGAGCGAAATCAAAAATGCATTATTATTCTGTGTGTCCTTTTCTGTTCAACTCGCCTGTGCATGGAAACAATAAGGGCGTTAATAATATCCATTGAGATGTTGTTCCATTCTTCTGGGGCCGCGAGTGTGAGTTCCGGGAGGGTGTTAGGAGGATTAATACTGTTCAAGAGTCCTCGTTCAACGAAATCCCACATGTGCTTAATGGGATTCATGTCTGGTGAATTTTCTGGCCACGGTAAACTTTGAATAATCTCAATCTCTTTTGCATTTTGTACTCTTCTCGTGCGATGGGGCCTAGCATTGTCATCCATGGAAATGAAATTGGTTTCAACTTCATTTTGAAGGGGTTAAATGATGTATTCAATAATGTTTCGAACATATATACCCGCTGTCATAGTATCTGGATTGGGAATAAGCTGCGTACGACGACCATGCATTATACCTCCCCGAAACATTAGTGATCCTCCTTGGTATGGAACGACTTCTCTAGTCATCAAATACACATATCGATTGCTTAACGAGTGTTTGGAAAACAAACTGAATAGAGAAAAGTATTTTTTCATCCAGAATAATTGATTTCCATAATTCATTCAATTGAACTCCACTTCTTTACACTGTCTAGATCTCAATTATAATTTTCAAAAGTTCATGCTCGCAGACCAACATGGATATCAACATAGATAAGTTTTTTGAAGCGCCCTGTATCAAGAATAACATTCTCGGTCGGGGTTTCATATCTCATTTGTTCATGTGGCAATTCGTGGAGTTTCCAATATTACATGCATAATGCATAATTCCAGAGAATCACATCATGGTGAGATTGTGTATTGGTGTCATGATACATCCCAAACAGGAGTCTGATATTATAGGCAATGCATATTAACAATCAATAGTCAAAATTGAAAATTCAAGAATAAAGAAGAAAAATCAATAATTTTCAGCAGTTGAACTATGTGGTGATCAATTGGTTTTATGTTTTTCGAATATACGTTTTTTATGCAATGATTGCTTTCGCTACCTTAATATGAAGTCCTGTTTCAGAAACCACACGCATAACCCGAATATTTTGTTACGATAAATCTCTTTGTACAGAGCTTCATGAAGGATCTGAAGCTCCACATGAAATTTTCGTTTTTCTTAAACAAATTGTTTGATTTATTTCCCTCATGGAATCGAAAGACCTCAATGAAAATTTCTAGTTTATTTTCTTACAAGAGCACCGGAATTTTTCAAAATATCTTGTAGTGTAGTGTAGTTTCTTCCATGGTGAGATTTCCAGAAATGTGCTATGGTGAAAAGACTGAAATATCCAAGTGAATCCATTTTCCTGGAGTTCTTGCTTTCGGGCGATTAGATTCGATGAAAGGTCTAGAAACATCTACCTTCATCATGCCTCAGCACAGAACAGGAGATGTCTTTGATGCAACTCGTATATACAATATGTTACCAGAAGAGTTCAAAATGTATGATATTAATAATTTGAAAATAAAAAATTAATAGATCTCACTTTCCAAAGAGTAAAACTCAACGGGGTAAACTATTCAACCACTCTACACATTATATATCATGAAATTATATTATATATTACAATATAAGACAAGTATCTCATTCCGAAACTCTAAATTCCACCTACAAAAATGGCATCAGATTACCATGTAAATAAAATTTCATGTCGTAACTCTTCCTCATACTATAATGTGTATCTTTCCTGTGAATGATATCTGAGTAGTTACTTCAAAAGGACTTTTTCTTTCGTGTAATTCCATCTTAATATGAAAGTAGTTGTTACGAGAGGAATTTTTCTTTCCGTTTGTATCTAAGGGTAATGTCTATGCATGATCTACATACCATTGTGGAGATTTCATCCTGAACTCGTTTACTTCCTTCCTTTCTTTGGAAATTTCACACAATTTTTGATAAAAATGTAGAATTGAAAATAACAAGCATTTTTCCAAAAAATATTTTATATTTGCGAAAATTACGATTATTTGCAATGCAAATTCCAATATAATGCATCGTTTATGTGAATGTTGTTTCATTTGAATATAGTAGTGAGTATGAGATTCTCTTATTATCAAATCAAAAATATGAATGAACTGAAAAACCGCACAACTGTTTTTGAAAATTATTTTATTTATGTATAGAATATGTACTGTGTTTTATTTATTAGATGACATATCATGTATTGGAGATTTTTACAAAAAATATAGTAATGTGACTCAAGTTACGAAATATTCACGAATACACAAGAGAGATTGGCCACTATGAGATACAATAAATTTCATTAGTTCGGATTTCCATTGCCTAATATATTCAAGTCTCTGAAAAAACGAATAAAAATGAAACTTAAAAATAATAACTGAAAATAACAATTATTTCAAGCAGACACCCAGAAAAGAAATGCAGAGGATGAAGAAAGTTCTTAGGAAGGGTCACCGAAAATCATATCCGCCTATACACGGCGAGCAAGGTCTACACGGTCTACATGGACCAAGAGAAAGCGGAAGCATTTGCTGACAATTTCGAAAGGCTGTGTAGAGAAAATGATGTCTCGTTCACGGACGAAGTAGAAGCCAATCGAAAACCAGGTTGAAGAGACGGTACGAAGGATTAGACGGCAATGGAGGGACAACACGCAACCCCTGATACCGACATCACCTAAGGAAGCGAAAGGCATCGTGAGGTGCCTAGCCCCTCGGAAAACCCCAAGCCCGGATCAGATTCCAAACGGGACACTAAGAGCCACACCAAGGAACTTTATAACTGCAATGACGAATATCATTAACGCTATACGAGGACTACAGCACTTTTCGTACCCGTTCAAGGAGGCAAAGAAGAACCACATATTTCCCGATAACAGTAGGCCAATAAGCTCAACCCCTTCCATAAGCAAAACGAGTCATATTGAAAAGACTAGAAGACCAATCCAGCGAACTGGGAATCTTATCAGATGAACAGTTCGGTTTCAAATCCGAACACTAGACAGAGCTGCAAATCCTGAGGGTATTAGACAATGCGACAGAAGGTTTCAATCTGGGCAAAAAATACCACATCAGAACGATATTCCTAGACGTCTTCAAGGCGTTCGACAGAGTTTGGTACGACTGACTACTAGCCAAAATGAGCAATTTTGGCTACTCGAAACAAATGGTAACACTGATCAAATATTTTCTAGCTGTCCGGCGATGCCGCTGCAGAGTAAGATAAGAACTCTTCACAACAAGGTGCAGGTCTTTTGTCAAACCTCTTCTCATTATACACAGCAGAGGTGCCCAAGCCTAAAAACAAGTTCAACAAGTTTGCACTCTACGCGGACGACAGACAAAACTCAACTGGCGAGATCAACTAGCAATGCGCAAGTTACCAGATACTTGCCCCAGCAGGCGGGCAGATTATACATCCGGTAGGTAACGTCACCTTCAACGGACAAGAGATTCCGTGGACCAACGAAGCTAAATACCTGGAAGTGACCCTCAACAGAAGACTAACGTTCAGAGCCCACGTACGGCAGAGACTAGGGCTGGCAAGAGCCGCCCGACAAAACCTAATTCCGATTATAGATCGCAAAAGCAACATGGGACTCCACATAAAACTTCTGGTAATTAAGACCGTACTACTACCAATCATCCTGTAGGTCTGCACTGTCTGGGGCGCGACATACAGACGCAGTATCCTGACGTTCATGAACGGTTGCGTATCGCTGTAAAACAAGATACATACCAAATTTATACATATAAAGGGATCTGGAACTGAACATCAACTACGTAGACGCGTATATGAGAGAACACGCAGAAAACGTGTTCGAAAGAGCCCGATCACACAACAGTCCAGCGCTGCGCGATCTATACGAAGCACTCAGCATAGAAGACCCAAGATTTCGAGAGAGAGACAAACACAAGAGTCCAACCAAGCAAAATTAGAGACCACCCTCGAGAGTAGCTATCAGGCGGCTTCGGTATGTATAAAAATTTCTTAACCAGATTTCAAATTCAGTTCTTTTTCAGATTCACTGGAAAACACTTGTTCGCGTTCTAAAGACACTCCTCTCCGGTTAGTTTCTGGGGTCCCCAATGCAATGAATTACATTCAATCAAAGTCACGATTTAATAAAATACCAGATTAAAAAGTACAAGCACCTAAAGGCTGGCTTTCGACTGCAGTAGGTCAGATGTTAATCTTGCTGAAGTGTCCATCAGTAGGTTGAGGTCCACTCATAAGAGTGGGGGTGGATGGACGGGATGGGATGTTTTGCACACAGTAACGGAGTGGAGAAGGTTTCATTTCAGGGCACTCAACTCCGGAGGTGGCATGGGAATAGTCCAGTCATTACCCGAAGGCGATTGTGGATACTAATAATCGAAACGTCGTGAAGTAACTTGACTTGAAATATTTCAACTTTCACTTCATTTTAATTGTTCAATTTACTACTCAATCGTCATTTTATTGTAATTTTTTTCAAGCTTTCTTTGATCAATATAATTGATATTTTCAGCTATTCTTTTCAATTGTATTTATTTTTTCGGGGATTTCAAATGATTTTAGACAATGAAAGTCCGAGCTGATGAAATTCTCCAAGAACATTGTCCACCACCATCAAACAAATGAGATGCAATGTTCAAGTGTTCAGATTTGAGATACGTACGAGTACATAAATTGTAACACTTCAAAAACCTCATGAAATCGAATCATATAAAAATTGTACATTATATTACACACATCCGGTGACCGGACACAATTTCTTCTGAACTAGATTATTAATTATAGTACACTTACGGGTGTCATCATACTTGATGTTGAAAAGTTCAGAAAAACACTTAATGGTGGCAGTTTCATTGAGGGGTGTAGGAGGCCAGCACAACACACTATCAGATATTACAGGGCAGAATCCCTCCGGGTATAGTTGGGAATATTGGATAGTTTCATTCTCGTATTGAACTTTACACTGCTCCAAACTAACATTCGTTCTGAAGTTCTCTTCTTCGGAATAGGAACCGTTCATATTATTCTCGGGAATGGGTCGAACGGATATCTGAGTTTATTTTCTATGTTCCTTCACTCATACTGACATTGAGTTGTAGGTTTGTTTCTACACCATTATATTTTGCTCGATTTGCTTCTGGATAGATGAGTTTCATATGTTCAGGACTTTCTGTTCGAGTTGGTCATCTGGAACAAAAACGACTGTAAACTATAAATAGCATGAAATAATGTAGTTAAGATAATATACAATAAATAAATTCAATTTTACTTGTATTTCCCCCACCAATTAAGTTCAGAATCATTAATAATTGGGATTCTTCGGAAATATAAATATTTCAAAAGACCCACTCTCAAATTTGCATGAGTATAATTGGTCGTTACTTGAGTTTTATCAGTTTGGAATTCCATTGTCTCATAAGATTCTGATATAATTCGGAAGAAACACAAGTTCAAGAGGAAGATCAAAGAAGTTGCATATATGTTGTCCAACAATATATTTAGCCAAACTAGCGTAAAGATACGCAACATTTAGAAACCTGTATTCAAGCGGAAAAACATTTAACTCTCGGTGAAGGGGAATGAGAAAAGAGGGGATAGGGGAAAGTGCTCGAATTACCGACGAATAGTCATCTTTTGGAGAAATAGTCCAGTCACCCGAAGTTGATTGTTTGAAATCACGTTGATTTCAGTTTGTTCTTATTTTTATTCCTGTTTTTTACTCTGTAGTAGTCATTTTCACATTGCATTTATTGCATTTTCATTTCACGTCTTATTAAAGAATATTACTGGAGTTTTTTCCCAACACCAGACTAGGTATTTAAAACAAGTCATACACTACAAAGCTTTTTAGAATGTTCAAAAGACAAAGTCGAGAATTCGGAAAAGTCTGGAATTTACGAAATTGAATGTGAAGACTGCGATACAAAATATTATGGACAGACAAAAAGATCTGTTGAAATAAAATATAAGGAACACTTAGACACTTAAAATGTGAAAGACCTGAAAAATCAGCTGTCGCCCATCAAATTTTGTAACAAAACCATTCCATAGACTTCAGTTCATTGAGATTAGTTAGACAAGTTAACAACAACAGCCATCAAGTAGTCATCTGTAGTAGTCATTTTCACATTGCATTTATTGCATTTTCATTTTACGTCTTATTAAAGAATATTACTGGAGTTTTTTCCCCACACCAGACTAGGTATTTAAAATAAGTCATACACTACAGAGCTTTTTAGAATGTTCAAAAGACAAAGTCGAGAATTCGGAAAAGTCTGGAATTTACGAAATTAAATGTAAGGACTGCGATACAAAATATTATGGACAGACAAAAAGATCTGTTGAAATAAGATATAAGGAACACTTAGACACTTAAAATATGAAAGACCTGAAAAATCAGCTGTCGCCCATCATATTTTGTAACAAAACCATTCCATAGACTTCAGTTCATTAAGATTAGTTAGACAAGTTAACAACAACAGCCATCAAGATGTCTACGAGAGTGTAGAAATAAGTAAATATAATAATATTATGGATAACGATGGTGGACCAATACCTAATAGTATACTATATAGCTTGTTAAAATGATATTTTATTTATTAGATTCACCTGACTATTACATAACGACAAATAGTGAAATTAATATTGTAAAATTGAATTTTATATAGGTTAATTACTATTCATAAGGACACATTGTTAAATTAATTTAAGACTAGCAGATACGGCAATTTGTGAAATTAATTTCATATAGCTGATAATATTTCAATTATTAGATTCACCTTTCTATTACATAAGAACACTTTGTAAAATTCATGTTAGACTAGTAGATAAGGCAACATGTGAAATTATAATATTTCAATTATTACATTTACCTAACTATTATCTACATAAGGCAAATTTTAAAATCAGTTCAAGACACTCAGACGCAAGTACCTGAAACAGGTATCTATGGTATAAATAGGCATAGCTTTGTAAGTATTTTTAGTTTGATCTTCCTCTTGAAGATGATCACTTGGTGATCGAAACACGTGTGAAGGTGTTAAAATAACGGTTTGGTGTTGGTAAAAAATTCCAGTAACATTAATTACAGTGCATCACAACTCACGTCTTATTGCTTGATATAATTGATATTTTAGCTATTCATTCTAATTTTGTCTGTTTTTTCATAGGTTTCAAATCATATTAGACAATAGTCCGAAGTGATAAAATTTACCATGAAATATTGTCAACTACTTTCAAACAAATGTTTGGTACTTGATGAACATTCATGAATCGTATTAGATAAATCTATATTATCTGATTTCCTCAAAACAGTTTTACAACCACACTTTCTTCACAAAACAGTAGTTTCATCAGGCGTGTTGCATTATGAACATCACATGATACACCTGAAAAAGCTATTTTATAGTGAAACCGTTATATTTTACTACTATTCCAAAACGATGGCGGCACTTATGAACATTCCTCAATGGCAAATTACTTACTTCATCTCGGCTTTACTGAAACCTCTCATTTATTTTTTCCATACTGAAGATTTGAACCGGTATAATAGAGGTTACGTGTCCAAAAAGCAAAATAAAACAATTACTGAAAAAGAGGTTGGTTGGGTAAGAGAATCAATTTTTTCTTTAAAAAAAATTGTATTCTTTTCGACGTTTCGAATTGAATCAAATTCTTCTTCAGGACTCGAAGAGTAGTTTTATCGTGTTGATGATAATACTATTTTAAAAACCATCAGACATATTGAATACGTATTGAAAAAAATAAAGAACATTGCAACAACAAATTTTCTTGTCGTTTTGTGTTGTCTGGAAAATTTGTTGTTGCAATGTTTTTCATTTTTATTTTTGAAATACGTATCTAATAAGTCTGATGGTTTTTAAAATATTATTATCATAAACACGAAAAAACTACTTTTCGAGTCCTGAAGAAGAATTTAATTAAATTCGAAACGTCGGCAAGAATAAATATATTTTTTTTTAGAAAAAATTGATCCTGTTACCCAACCAACCCCTTTCACAGAAAAATTATTGGGTCACTAAATTATTTAACTGAAACAATTACATTTAGTTTATGTAAACATATTTTTCCGTCAAACATCATCGATTCCCTTCTTCAATGAAAGAAAACTTGTAATGAAATCAATGAAGCTTTGTTCTCGGACGTCTGCAGAAACAGCTCATATTTTGATGATTTCCGTTTGAAATTTTGATTTCCTTTTGTATTATTTGAAAGCAGTGATGGGTAACTTCTGTTTGTATGATTGATAATCTCTTAAATCCGTTAAATATCCGATTGATAATCTGTGTCCGTTAACCAGCTGTCGCACCCCTACGAACGACAATGCTCAGAAGTCGAAACTTGTGCGAGCTAAGACTAATGAGGTCTAACCTTTCAACGTGTGATTCCTAACGGCTTGGCCACGGGGATCGGCGGTGCCAACAACGAAGCGGGGAGCGAGGCGACCATTCGCGCGACACTGTTTGCAGGCCACGGGCAGTCACGTTCGCCCTCGCGACCAATAGTCCGACAGCGAAATGTCTTTATCGAAATTATCTCGATATAGCTTGGAAAGTAATAGTTTTACATGATTTAAATATGAATCGGGGTATAGATAGAGAATCCCACAAGGATTACGAAAAATACAGATTATAACCAGAAACATTTCTTGAGTACACCAGAATTAGTATTGAATCTTTCGATTATATTCCCATGAATATTAATATTGTCAGAGACGTTGGCAATTGGATCCTGAATAATAAAACCAATAAGTAAGTACTCGACAAGCAAAGGTGCATTATATTTTCATGCCAAAAACTGCGGGTCTTCACTATAAAAAGTATAATCTTTCTCGATTAGCCACCTATCCAACGGTTTCATCATTCAGGATCGAATTATCATTTTATATGTCTCTGTAAACACTTTGAAACATCCGTAACATCCGACAAAGGATGTATCAGAAGAAGAGAATTCAGTTGCACGTTCAAAAATAGAATAATGGAGGTCTTTAACATTCTGAAAAATGGGTTTGACGAAAAGACACAGCTACTTAAAAACATCAAAAATGAAGTAGCCTGCAATTGATATTCTTCCAATATGAAGCCATGTGCCGAAAAAAATAATAAATTGAAGTATACCTCAAATATCCAACAAGTGCATTTCTTATATGAATATCATGCTAACATTTTCAACAAAATATACATTACTCTGTTTTCGCTTCAAAATCTTTTAGATTTCAAATAATATTAAAATAGTAGGAAAAAAATTATCAAATAATGCACAATGTGGGAGCTTCTTCCATGTTTTTTGATAAAGCTTTTATTTCTAATTTTTCATCTACGACACGTTATCAGAAGCGATAAAGCAACGGACCTCAAAGCAGATACTACAGAATTGGTTCTAGTATCCGGATTCATTCCATTAAAATATGACGTGTCGTCGTTCTTTGGTTGAATTGAATATCATAATACTTCCATAATCGTAGATGCAGAAAAAAACCTACAGATAAAGGTCGACAGTCTGGCAAATAGCTTTGACCCAGTTATTTTCTGCCATTGAAATTATTCAGGAAACTTTCTGAGAACTTTCAAAGATTGATCGTTTAACGTATTCGTTCCGTATTCATTTCGGCCATCAATAACAAAGTGGACACAACTTTACTAACTCGATTAAATACTCATTGGAAGTTCTTGGGGTGTCCTTGTTCATATTCGGCTCCACAACTAGAGTGTCACTAGGAATGCTAATCTGGAACTTGTAAAGGGGAAAGGACCCAAGAGTTAGGAAGGTCCTTATAATCTCATATTTCCCTACTTCATCCATAACGTGAATCAGTTTGTCAAAGTTGGGAATGTTCGGTTATTAAATGAAATTTATTATGAGTGTAGGAAATTGCTTTATAAAATACTGAACAGAAGAGACTAGGCATTCATAACACAAATCCAAGAGGTTGAAGGATATGTTTCAGTGTTGATAGTTATCAGAAGATTGATATATTTCTGGTTGGTGTTCTAAAGAGAAATATGTGTAATATTATCAATGTGAACATAATTTACCAGGTGTGCGCGGTCCTGAAAAATATTATTTAGATATAAGTTTTTCATCCATGACTGACTTGAATATAACATCCTCAATCACACTAGGATAAATGTTCAAAAAATGAACCATTCAGAGAAATCATCAAAATT